GTTCTAGAAAAGCGTTATATATTTGTCTTAAAACTGCTGCCTCTATGACTTTCTTTGAAACTGAGTGAAACATAGTTTGGAAGTGCCTCTTGTGTATTTTCTAGTGTTTCAGCCTCAAGGTAGGTTATATCTGGCTCAGGGAATTACCACAGTAAGCTTGGATAAGATCTACTGATAGCTAGTCTTCCTGTGTGCACTATCTCTTTTTAAGGCTAAGAATTAAACAAACAAGACAGAGTATGTAAGGTTGGATAGGGAGAAAAAGAAGATTGAGCTTCATTTGGACATGGTTGAGAGTTTGTTGTTGTGAGGTAAAGTGGCAAGAGAGAGGGTTCGGTTCTAGTTAGGATAGAGAGGCTGGGTGGAAAATGGCAGATAGAGAAATATGCATGTATGTGTGAGAGAGATATGGAAAGTGAGAATTCAGAGTTTGGACAAGGAATGTTGAGATTACATGATGGTGGTCTCTGAATTAGTAAAAACACTGAACTGTTTCACGACCCACAATAACCGACCCACCATAGTGGATGGGTGTTCAGCTCATTTTGCCCCCACTTTCTGGATCTCCATCCCAGAATATCTCCAATTCCCTCCTTCACCTGGTTAAGGTCTGTCTCAAGGCATACCTCTTTGATACATTTTAAATTATCTTTCCCTTCCCCACCCCCTTCAGCTCCCACTCCCAGCTCGAGTGCCCAAATAGCAGTGCTAAAACGCTTCACAAAATACATAGTAAAATACACTTTACAATATATCCTGTGAAGCTCTTTGAGACATCTTCCCAATGTGAAAGGTACTATTTATATGTCAATTGTATTGTACTGTAATGCCATTGCAATGTATCTGTCAAAGGTAGAAAAAATAGTCCATGTGAAGAAATGTCTTAGATTGTGGATGTGATAGAAATAGAAACAAATGGGGGAAGGAAACGATTCAGCCCATCAGGCCTGTTGAACCAATTTATCAGATCATGGTAATTTATTAGACTTTCTAATTACATTTCCCAACTTTTTCCCTTAAATATTTCACAAGAATCTGTCTGTCAGCTGTTCAAAAATCCCAGTTGATTCTGTCTGTATAGCTTTATGCGGGTGTTTCAGATGTTCACAACCCTCTTGTGTCAAGAAAAGTTTTGTGATTTCATAGGGGAAGTCCTGCTCTCCCATTTGAGACAATGAGGTTCACAGCAGGGAACCTAAAATGAGGGGAGGAAGGTTGGGGAAGACATGGAAGACTGCAAATTATTAGTGAAACAGCTGATGCAAAGTGGGGTTTATGCATTTCCAAGCTTCTAGACTGCATGCTGTTATGAATTTGCTTTCATCCTTGCCATTCATAAGGGGCTGCAGACCTTAGAAATGATGTTGATGAGGCATAATGCATATAAGGCTTCTGCCAGTTAGTTTCCCAGGACACAGAACATTGATAAACACTGAGTCCTACTTTTAAAGAGCATTTTTCATTGCAAGCAAAGTGATATTTCTGTCTCTCTCTACCAACTACACTAATTGACAACGCAACATTAATAACAATAGCAGTGTTAGAGCTGACAGTTCTTAATCTTCTTCAATCGGCTTTTTCCTCTCATTCTCCAGACTCATTTAAAGATTTCCACTGTTCTTTGAGTTTAAATTTCCTGAGGGTCCAATAAGAATAAGGCAAAGATTTATATATAAGTCTCTTGTGTCACATTTCCAGAAGATAGTGTTTGGAGTCAGACCCGCAATGCATTGCAGGAAGAAAAACGAAACCCCCTCCTATTTTTAAAAAAAAAGGGTTGTGTGGCATGAAGTCCTTGTTATTGGAAACAGCACAACATGCAATAATAGTCCGCAAACTCACTCCACATCTTACTTGCTATCAGTCAGGAAGCATATGAACTCAGCGGGAGACTTGAGATAAAGGCTAATTTATGGAAAAATATGCAAGCATAATCACACAAAAACCCCAGAGGGGGTAAACATGACTATGCATCTTCCCTTCTGTGTGCTTCATCTTCAATTCTTGTTTTGATTATAGTATTCCGAGTATTTTGAAAGTCTTGCTTCCTGCTTTGCTCAAAGCTTTATAAGCCGCACATTGTGCTTTGTATGAAATCCTGTCAGACTTAATATGGAACATGAAAGTAAACTTGTTCTGTATGTTAGTTATTCATGAGCTCCAAATATGCACACAGACTGTTTCACAACAGAAAAAGAGAAATCAGCAGCCCAGTGTGTCATTTAGCATTAAATTAATTTGACCCCTTTGTGCTTGATATTAAGTCTTTTCATCAGATGCCGCGTTTATCTGTCATCATCATGCAAATGACTCGGCTGAAGATCGTTTGGCGTTGCGCCATTTGGTGCTTTTTTTTCCCTCCCTGTCAGTGTCTTTTCCAGTCGCTGCCTTTTGATTGAGTGGTTTGGTTCTTTGTATTGTGAGTTATTGTTCTTAACCTTTGAGGAGAAGTATAATGAAGCATTTCGGCTCCATCTCACTGACTTCCTTCCCCACACTCCCACCACCAATCCAGTAGCGCAAAAATGTTCAAAATATTCACTTGTAGTTCGAGAAGGTGGAAAAGCAATGAGGGTTAACTGATATTTGTTGTAATAGAAAAAAAGGGGTTGAAAAAAACAATGCTTCCTATGGACTGTTTGAAGAAGAAACCAAAGGATAAACAGACTTCGGTCAGAGCAAGGTCTTTTAATGCATTTTCAATCCAGATTTTGAGTCGGTCCAAGCATGCTCTCTCTGATCCTTGTTAAGTTAATTATTCTTTATAAAGTTCCTCACTTGCCAAAGTGTGTGGAGTCAGACCTGTAACGCATTGCAGGAAGAAGGAAAAGGAGACCCCTCCTTTAACTGTCACAGTTAAAGAAACGATGGGAGGTAAAGAAAAGATCGTAATTCAGGGTTTTTATTTGTTCATGTGAGGATTATATGGGGTTCAGATTTGTATTCGAACAATCAATGTGTTCTAAACAGGTCAAGAAAATCCCACGTCAGTGCGTGCAGACATTGCAGTATGTGATGCCACCAGGTAAATCCTGTTTGGAAAGTCCATTCATTTACTCCCAGAACAAAATAGCCTTATTTTATTAAAACAAAGTAGCTGATTTGAAATGACGCTATCTTAGAAATAATTTCTTCATTGAAATACATTTGTTATGTCTGGCAAAGGTGTTGTCAACGTCCTAACAAAATTTACCTGCAAATACACAGTCACCAGTCACTACACTTCTCAGTAAAATCATGTGATAGCGCTTTGAGACGTCTCATTGACGTGATAAGGAACTGTATCAAATGCAAGGATTATAAAATGATCACTATCCAAATGGAGATATGACAATCACTGGTGAAGTGGATTGACAGACATTGTGAAATGTATGTAAGTCTCAGTTTATTGGCATTCAAAGATCCATTCCTTTGGACTGAACCTGTGCTAAAACGTGTGCCTGTGCTAATCTTGTGTGTCAATCTGGCTCAGTGTAGTGCTCTTGCACTCAGATTTGTGGATTCAAGCCCCACATCGAGACGTGGAATCATATAGTCTAAGATGACACTCGAGCACAGTCGGGGGGTGGGAGGAAGTTCCATTGTTGGAAGCACTGTTCTTCAGGTGAGCTGTTAAACTAAGGTACCATCTGCCTGTTCAGTTGGACGTTATGGATTCCACGGCATTAGTGGAAAAGAGAAGGGAGTTATTCCCAGTGTCCTGGCCAACTAATCCCCCAAATAAAATTGGTCACTCACTCCATGGCTGTTGTCAGACATTGCTGTGCACAAAACTGGCTGCCACATTTTGCCCTCAAAGTAAATGCGCATTTTACAGTAAATTCTGTGAAATGCTTTGAGACATCTCAACAAAATGATTGGGGTTATATCAAATGCAAGTTTTTTTTATTTTAAAACAGTTATTTGTGTAGAATGTAACTTCAAACCAGGGAATCATAAGAATGTTACTTAAAAACATTGAGATTTCATTACAATAGGAGGCCATTTGTCACATTCAGCCTCTGTTGATGCCGACTCTCATGCAAACTGTTTTATATTGTTCCTCTTCAATGTTTATCCAATTCTCTTGTAAGTGTTGTTTAATTTCAGCCTCAGTAGCCACTTGTGACACAGCATTCCATGTTCTAACAATCCTCTGAATTTAAAAAAAATGTTTATTTTAATCTCCCGCTTAACTCTCTGAGTGACAATCTGAGTTTCTGCCTGACTGCCACCAATAAGCAGGAATAATCTTTCACCGCTTATCCTTTTAAAACCCTCACAAGAGTTTCTTTTTGTGGTGTAAAACTGTGAACATACCAAAAATGTGTTGCGGTGATATGATTGCATGATTCATTTTGTGTGGTATTTTCCTTTGCTTCTAGATATGCAGTATATCATGAGGAGATGCACCTCCTTGCATGTGTTTCAGCTATATTTAGATTCCATTCAAAAAGATCATGTATGTCTGACCAAACATGATAGAGTTGCTTATTATTAGGCTTCAAACGATACTGGCTGCTGAAGGCGTAAGCTGTGTTGTGATAGACCACAGAATATTTCACAAAAAAGATGTTGGAACAACATCCATTTCAGCATTCGTTTGGTTTTGAGGGGAAGTGGGGAAGAGGACTGAGATGCAGAGGTAATGAGCTTGTTAACAACGACAACAAATTACATTTGTATAGTGCTTTTCACATCAGGAGGACATCCCAAGGCGCTGGTCAGTCAGGGATTGGCACCCGAGCTGGTGGTTGCGATCAGGAGGGGTGGAGGGTGGTAGCGGTAGGAGGGTGACCAAAGGCATGGTCGAAGAGGAGGGTCTTGAGATGGGTCTCGAAGTAGACAGAGGTGGAGGGGCTGTGGGATGGAGTTCCAGAGGGTGGGGTCAGAGAGGCTGAAGGTTAACTTGCTTCTTAAATGGAAGTTTGTGACTCAAGATACCATAGGGTGCAAAGTGAATATTTGCTTTGCAATATTTCTAGCCCCTGGTGTTTTGATGTATGTTTTGTTTTTATCAGCTATGAACCTATTTGGCCTGAACTGGCAGCTGCAGCAGACTGGGGGTTACACATTCGAGAATGGGAAAGTGAAAGCTGAAACCTCACCAACCAATCCAGTGACATCACTGTCGGGTAAGCAATGAAGAGCATCTTATCATTTTTTTTAAAAAAATGAGGAAAGTGTTTCCGATCTGTTGAGAGGCAGAGTCAATTCTGAAATGTGTGCAGATTACACTCAAGTCTTTGGAAATGTCAAGCACGAGATATAAATCATAAGGCTAAGGTTCTGTACAAGCGGCTTCTATATAAATGTTTTTTGAGACTGAGACCATAAAGACATGTTAAAAAAAAGAATTGGATAAACCGTTTTAAGAGGAATAATATTAAAGGACACGGATATAAAGCACTGAATTGAAATCAGGGTGTAATGAAATCCCATTATAACTCTGTGGTTGGGATCCATAAAATTGCATACAGTCTTATGGTGAGGCCACGGTGCCTCATTTCATTACGCATATATAGGCAGCTTGCTTCCTGCGCTTAAAGGACATGGTTGATTTTCAGAACATCAGATCCCTGCTGATGCCATTTCTTGTATGCTGCACATGCATGGCACAGGAAGTGAACAACAGTGATAAACTGATGGAAGTCAGTCATTTTGGTCACGGGAACTGTTCAGCACCATGAATCTAGCAGGCCCTCTGCATGTATCCACAGTGAACGGGATCCGCACACCATTTGCATTATAAATAAATCATTTCTGTAATGAAGAATCTTCTAATGAGGATGCATTTTGTTAGCTCCAGTGGAGGAGCTAGTACCAGCATAGACTGAATGGTCACTTCCTTCGCTTTAGCATTGATTCTTACAAACACAACTGTAGATTTTTGACAAAGATTCTACTTTGTATTTCAAAGTTTTTTTCTCTGCTTGGCAATAGCTTAGACATTTTTAAAAAAATTTGAATGGAGAAATAAATCATAACAATTTGCCTCAAATTTAAAACCTGTCACAAAAGAGGATATTGAAAATGCGGAGAGAAATTTGATAAAACGAAGGAAAAGTGCAGCAAAAATCCAGACTACATTGGAAGAAAAACTGAAACTGCTGAAAATCTACATCAGGTGTCTGAAAGAGAGAGGTGAATCATCACTCATTCTCTTGCCCATTACACCCACCACCCACAGCTCCCCACCCCAGACAATTTCAGCACCTGACTCTTTCAGTTCTTCCCACACCAATTCTCTGCAGCCCTAAACTTGCTTTCTACGTGAGAATAATTTACATGTGCCTCCTCCGACTGCTGCACCTATGGGCTGTGTTCTCTTCTCAGCATTCACCAGTTTTCTTTTTATCTCGCATCCCAAAGATGATTTAAATTTCAAAGCTGACTTCCCGTGGTGAGTAGTTTCGCAAAATTAATCCTCCCCCGTCAAAAAACAATTGCTGGATTGGAGAGCGTCATGAGATAGGTACATCTGGGCTCCCACATTCTGCGAGCAGAGAAATTAATAGAGAAGCACCATGTGGCAGGCATTTAGGGTTAGTACAGATCTTTACTGCAGGCTTTTGAAACCATTATGTTCAATACGTTCAGCAGCTTTCAGACACATTTTTGTATCAATACATAATGGATACCGCCGACAACTTCTCAGCTCCTACAATTTGATGGCATCTTCAACCTATTTTTCTGAAGATCAGGGTCAGTCACTGAGGAGTTAATGGCTCACAAAGGAACCATGCAAACACTCTTGTGGGCAAGTTTCCAAACATAGCTCTTTTGCCTTATTATTTTGGGAACCACACAGGCAAAGTGTTCATTTTTGTTTATGTTTTACTCATTTTCGGTATTTCTTTACTAGCTGGAAATTTTCCTGCTAATTAACTGGAGTTTGTGTCTTGCTTAGGCTGCAATATTGATGGCAGAGTCATTAATCCATCACTGTGAATACCATGGTGGTGAAGAGCACAGAACACATTGGACGTAAGGGTTATCATTAGCAAGCTGTGTCAAGCCAATAAAGTCACCCCATTAAGTTAACAATCTATAATTATCCAGGGGGAAAAATTCCTATGTTTGTAAATGTTAGCAGAAATGTAGAAATCTATCTCTTACAAGCAACATAAAATTGTTTGTGATGAAGGAAAGAGAACGCCATTTGAGTTTTTAAGGTTTTGTTAAGACCCTGCATGAGGCGCGCTATATCAATGCAAGTTGTTGTAAAGATTATTCAAGAGAAACTCATTCAGAACTCTGCATCTGATTAGACATGTTGAAAAATAAATGTTTAAATCTAGGTGAGATCCAGTGTAGCAGTCAATGAGGGCTATCGCACCTGCTATCGCAGGTAACCATTCAGCCCATCAAGCCTGCACTGGTGTTAGCTCGTCCACTGGAGTTAGCGTCTACATTCCAAATTCCTTGCTCTTTTATAAATCTTTCTAAATTGTTTCTCTTCAAATGCTTACCAAAGTTTTAAGTGTTATCATGGTCTTAGCTAAAAGGAGTAAAGTACAGAATATGAGGCAAGGGCAGGTAAATGGAACTTAAAGGATCTTTAAAAGCACCAGCACAGACACAATGGGCTGAATGGCCTTCTTCTGTGCTTTAATGTCTGTGGTTCTGTGGCTCAGAGAACAGTTTGCTGTGTAATGCTGCATTAAGAAGGTCACTGAAGCCTTGTATCCCCAGATAACTCACCAAACAACTTACCAGAAACCAGCAGGAGCAGTTGTAGAGGCAGCAACAATCCACCAAATTGCTGACTTCCTAATTCTCATGTGCATAATTGATTACAACAACAACTTGCACTGTATATTGCACCGTTCATGTAGGATGTGTCTCGGAGCAGTTCACAATAAGCGGGTTAAGGGAGAGGGGGGGAAAGGGGAAGATGCAATAGAAACAGTCACAGAAGTAATTTGTAGTGTCCATTCATGCACCAGTTGCAGATTTTCATCCTTCCCACCTTTTCCCACTTTGGGGGGCTGCCCTGCTTCACCAAAGATGTTGCTCCATGAAAGGCCCACAGGGCTTTGTGTGAATCTTTCTTTGTGTTTTCACAGTTTCACCCGAAATTCCACACAGCTGAATACAGTGAATCTTTTTCCCTGTTCTAATAATGAATTGGATCATTTGGGTGCTTTAGCTTCACAATGCTCACACTCTGAACTGAGAAATGTCAGACACTGTTAAGATTTCTTTGAACAGCTCATTAACCAGGCCTGGTGCCCAATTTTGACAAGCAAGGGAACGCCAACCCTTTATTTGAAGCTCAAGAGTTCAGATGTTTCTCCTCATCAACAAAAATTCTCTATCGAACAATCTGAGAAATATGCTTTACAAGAATCATTTATTTATCATATTATTTTCACTAGTCCTGCTCATAACAGTGCACTTAGTCATCGCCAGTGAATGCCAATATTTTTCTTGCTCTCCTGTTTTGTAGCACATTCTGGGGGAGACAGCCTCATTCTTCTCAATTTAGGCTTCTCAGATCTAAGAATGATTACATCATTTTTATCGCCCATAAAACAGAGAGTCACTCCACTTTGCAGTATATTCTGTGAAGCGCTTTGAGACGTCTCGAAGATGTGAAAATGCACTATATCAAATGCAAGGATTATTATTATTTATCATATTTTCCTCATAAAGCAAAATAACTAGCTGCTGTGTTTAGCCTCCTCAGTTCTGTGAAGAGATGGCTTTAAGTTTATAAACACCATGTATATGGATCTCACAGTCCTGACAATCCTTTCAACCAAATCCACTGCGCAGTGCATTAAGCAACCGCACCCACAACGTGACAGTGTATAGTTCAGAACATTTTGAAGAGCATTTTACTCTTCACTACCTCTATGCACATACATACCCAAAGCAATACAATGCAATATAAATTTAATTAAAATATGCCTTTTGCATCTGGAGAACATCCCAAGGCACAACAATTATGGCTTGGCACCTGAGCTGGGGGCCGAGTGGGATAGGAGAGGAAAGTTGACTGAAATCGCGGTCAAAGAGGTAGGTCTTGAGACAGACCTTAGTATACATGCTTAATTTTTCACTCCTACCTTTGGGTTCATCAACAGCATGTAAAATTCCACAGTCAAAAGGCTGAGCAGGGTTCCTTACCCCAGACATTTGACATATCCTACACTTTCACCACATCCCACTTATTCTAATCCTATATTGGAGGATTCTCCTTTCTCAAATCCGGTTAATGTAGTTGCATCAAGATCATTCACATAATATTTAGAAACTTAAGGAAGATGTTGTACACAGCAGGAACAAGCTGATTTTGGAGGAATATTTCATCATTTGGACCTTTAATGAAGGTTAATAGTCAATTTGATTATAATCAAAAGTGCAGAACTGAATCCAATTTAGCTTTAAATACTTCTAACTGGTATCTCAGTTTTAAATCAGCAAAACCACAGTGTTTTGCGGACATCATGTGGATCTTTATAATTAAAGACATTTAAGCTTGTCCTTTCATTAGCTGTTCCTTTATGACAATAATGGTTGGGGGCGGAGAGGTTAAGCTTGGTTCTGACAAAGGTCAGTGGGGGAAGGAGAGAAAGAGGCAAGTAAACCAGGGTGTGAATGATTGACATTGGTATTTACTCGCACTGCGGGAGCTTACTGGACGACTTGTTTTTGTAGGTCACAATTTGTACTGTCATCTTACAAATGGGCAAATCCAAGGCTGCGCTGTTTCATCAAACCGAAGCTCCATTTGTATTGATTAACCATAACATTGCTTACTCCACTTCATGTTAATGTGTATCCTTGCATCATTCACACTGAGGATTCTAAAACCACTCAGACTTGAGGTTTACAGACCAGAAGCATTTAAAATCACCTAACTCGAGGGAATCTGACCCTGAATGTTTATTATTCAGTCCTACAGTGCTGGTAGTAACATTGCAATCTGCTGCCTTTATTGTTCTTGCGCCTTCTCTCTAATGCCTGGGTGCATTTGACTGCAAAAGGAGCCCAAATTTCACATGATCTTAATCTTAGTTTTGTGTTAAATTCAACCTTAATTTGAAAACCTGGATTTAGGAAAACCGGCTTCCGAATTAAGACTGAATTGAAGATTTTTTGAAAATTCTGCAGTTTGAAATTTTAAGGCAATGATCCTAAGGATAGGACCATGTGCATTGTTCTGTAGCTTTGTTTAACAGTGAGTAAGCCATTTCCCTCAGTTTTAACTTGAAATAAAGTAGAATTCTATGGGGGGATTATCCCCACATCAGTGAAAGGTCTATGCCAAAACTGTAAGACTCTCATACCAATAGGAAATTACAGCCTCCTCTCAACAACTGACAGAAAAGTGAAAATGAGGAGGTTAGTATATGAGGAATCATCGGTTACAGACCCTTGTCCCATCAGTTCATGAATTCAATGTGTGTGAGAATTCCTTACAATAATGTTCAGCAAAACATTAGTGACATAAAATGTAGAACAAGAATTGCCAGGGGGTAAGTCGAGAGGAAAATGGACTATTGGTCACGATCATGTGCTAGAGCTAGTCTTATCTCCAATAACTATTCTCAGTTGGTCATTTTCTTCATATAATCCTTGCATTTGATATAGCGCCTTATCACATCTTCGAGACGCCTCAAACCACTTCACAGAATATACTGTAAAGTATAATATATAATATAAAGTGAATTGACTGTATATTTTGTCAGCAAAATGCGCCAGCCAATTGCACACAGCAGGGTCCTACCATAGTTATGGATTGAGTGACCAAATTTTTTTTAATTTAGAAGGGATTATCAACTTGGAAAAGCGATCCGCCAATCGACTAACAATCAGGTTCCTACCGACTGCTAGGTAAACAGATGCATTTGGAGTAAGCAAACTTGCCTAAAGTTTCGCCCTGCCTACGAATCAAACCTGGGTCCTCTCACTTGCGAGGCGAGCGCTTTAACCAGTACACTACAAGACTCCACACAACATTTTACAATAAATCCTGTGAAGCACTTATAGAGTCATCCTAATGTTAAAGACAATATATCAAATGAAACGAGTAAAAAAACACAAAATGAGCTAATGCATTCATTACTGTAATGCGGAGGCCTGAGCTCGGTAGACATCAAAGTTGTTAATCTTTTGTCTTCTATCGGGTGTGCTTCTTTAGGCACAGGTTGATTAACCAGCAGGAAAGCGCAGTAGAAAACACAAAAGCCAAACCCATCATATTTACTTAATTTGTTATATGCACCAAAGAATTCTGCAACAAACATTTGGAAAGGTGGGAGCAGAGAGAAAGAGAATTGGAGAAAGATAAAAGGCATTCTGTGATTCCAGCCTTGGCACTATTGAGAGGCAGTATTGATTCACGAGTGTCAGTGCATCACCCACAATCAGGATGCCCCAAATGCTGTGCATTTATCCCACATTGTACAGTACAGATGATGGCATTTGTTATGTCAAGGGTATCAGATACGTGCATGTATGAGAACTGATTATGTGCGGCACCGCTTTTGAAAAATCTACCTTGGAATTACTCAAGGTAAGCGAAAGAAATAAAAGCTTGTGAAATTAAAGTGACCTGAATGTTTAAAGATTTCATAATAGTTATTTTTTTCAATGCTCTACGGTGACTATAATGTCTGTAAAAGGAATTACAGGAATTTACTGCAAGCTTGACTGTCACAGAAATATCAGGTTGTACTATCTTTCCATTTTTGCTTGTTTTAGAGCTTTACCAAAGAAATCTAATAGAAGCTATACATTTAATTTTCCTATAATGCACAAAGATATCTTCAGTCAATTGGTTTTAAGCTAAACAAATCTCATGCCATCTTTATCCTGAAATGTAATTTTTAATATGCTGTTTGGGGGGTTGATGATTGACAGTGTAGATAATCACTGGAATTACACGGCAAATATTACTCTTGCTGTACGAAACGAATCTCAGAATGTTTGGAAACTGCTGCTGCTCCATTCTAATCTTACAATGGCGTTAAAACCTAATCCTGGATGCTTAGGAAACTGAGCAAGAGCCACATTATTATTGAGGCGTAATACCACTAGAAGCTCGTGAGGTATCTGTGAAATGTCACTAAAGGAGAAACCTTTGATGGCTTAGTACGATGTGTTCTGCATTCATGAGTTCAGAGAAGAATGACATTTGTAAGTGATTGTGCGTTCACTATTCCCAAAATGGCATGACTAGGACCTGAACACCAGTCTTAGCCTGGAAAATCATTTTGCCTGAAAATTTTATATTGTCGGATTTCAAATAACCAACTAGTGACCATCGCCCCAGGAAAGACGCTATACAAATGTAATTTTATATTGGTATTGTATTGGAAGGGAGGTAAGCGGGGTCATGAAGCTGAACTATTGGCTTCAAGATGATGTGTGGCAATGGAATGTCAGAATCGAGCCAGCCCTCTGTGGTGGTCCCAGTGGTCCAGTTCCCTGAGACAGGTGGGGTGCAGTACTCCATTACAGCACAGGACAGGTAGACTAGTTAATGGGCGTAGGGATTCTTTCCCAATCAGTTCCGATAGCTGTCGAATAGGGTGGTCCTAGCTGGACAAGCAGCAGGAAACTTGCCAGCCAGTTCTCTCAAATGGCAAACTATGAAAATGTAGCTGGTTAATTTCACCATTACCCCAACATAGACTCTCGGTGGCTCTTGCTAACCTTTGCCTATTACTCTCCAGAATTGGAAAGCAGGATATGTCCCTCCAGGAAGAGAGAGTGTGCATTCCATTCCAATAAATATCTCTGGAATTTCCACATGTAGATGGGATGCATGGAACTATCAGATTGGTTTGGATACTCTTAAGCTTGGTGATGGGTTTCTGCATGGGTCAGACCCCTGGCTGATCAAAAAACAACGATTGCACAAAATTGTGGAAAATTCTTATATTCAGTCTTAATGTGGAAGCCAATTTTCCACAGTTATTAAAGAAGAATCGGTTTCTGTATTAAGACAGAATTTAAGTATCCTTCACAATTCTGTACATTTTACAGAAATTATGGCTTTCAGGTTAAAACTTGGAGTAATCTCAGACCTTGGGATCAGAAGGCAAGTGTAGTCAACTGAGAATCTCAACCAAGTCCTCTGAGTAAGGGAAATTACAAGGAAAGGATGTTTCTCTTCTTTTTCCACCCAACCTCACCACTGACCATATAAATTTGTTAATATCTTTCCCTGTACATCCTACTAAATGTGGAGGGCCAAGGGGTTCCTGAGAGTAATGATAAATAATCCTTGCATTTTTGGGGTAAAGGCAGTACATTTGATTGAGCGCTACCTTCACCCACACAACATACAGCCACTGCTCTTCACAGTATATCCTGTGAAGTGCTTTGGTACGTCCTCCCAGTGTGAAAGATGCTATATCAAATTTAAGTGCTATTAATTATTTTTTATTATTACTGCATTGTTTGGCATCTCAAGGTGCTCAAATGATTTTACTGTGACTATCTGTAAGCAAATGTCACAGTCAATTTGTGCACAGCAGTGTCCCACAAACAGCCAGTCAAGTAATGCTCAACAGGAGGACAGCAACAAGCAATAATGTGATATTAAAGAGCAAGCCAGGGGAGACGGGGGTGGGAAATGGGTCATAGGAGGGTGTATAAAGTTAACACATTACTGCCTAGGTGGAAGAGGTGGATAACAAACAAATTATAAAGATAAAACTGGAACGCTGACTTCACTGTTGTATTGTTTTAAAATACAATTTATAAAAAATAACACCAAATCAAGCTGCAATGATGTTTCACAGTAAACTAAAGCCAAGGTGAAACACAGAGATCAAAATCAGTTTATCCTGAATACTGATGTCCTGGTAATAATACAGAATCAGTAATTACCTTTAAACATCAAATACTCTGTTCATTGCCCGGCTTCTATGCAGTGGAAAGGAGCAATGGAACAAGACAGGCACAAGCAAAATTCTGTTGGTTTTAAACTCTTGTGTTCTGAAATTATTTTTTTAGGAAAAGGTGGCCTCACCTATCAGGAAAACAACACTATCGATACCGGTGAGGTTGATTTGGGCCGCAGGGCTATCCAGGAAGTGCCTCCTGGGATCTTTTGGAGAGCTCAACTTTTTGTTGACAAGCCCCAGTTTCTGAAGTTCAACATATCCCTTCCAAAGGATGCACTGATTGGAATATATGGCAGAAAAGGGCTACCTCCTTCACACACCCAGGTAATGCTGTCTACTGTCTAGGCAGACCCTTCTCGCTGTCTGTCTACTGTCTCCTTCAACCCGCAACCCCCGTTCCACTTCCCTCACTTGCTATCTGTCTGATACTCCTCTGACCATTCACTATCTGTCTACTATCTCCTCATATCACTATTGTTATCACTTGCTCCTCACTGTCTACTTAATCCCTCTCACTATCTACTTATTCCTACTTAGACAACGCTCCCTATTTGTCTATCCCTCCTCAGACCTTTTTTTATTGTCTATCGACCCCTCCTCTAACTCCTGTCAACTACCTTCTCCCACTCTTCTCACTTTTACATTTGTTTGCCTTCTGATCTCATCTCATCCTCTTTGCATTCGAGTTTTGTTCAGTGTCTCCTCAAAACACTCAATTCACTTTCACGTCTATGTGTTCTATCTGCTCTACTCACCACACACCCATACATTTCCACTTTGTCACAAATAACATCTCCAAGTGTTCTCTACCCTCTCTCTTTCCACAACTCTTTTTGTAGCTTTACTGTTTAATTAAATTACTTGTCAGTGTTACGAATTTTCTCATAGTCAGTGAAATACCAGTCGGTGCATAATGATCTCTCAGAAAATTGTTTATCTCTTTACAAGGACCACATTTCAATTCCTGGCAGTCAGTGGTGAAATATGGTTGGCTTTCTTCTTTTGTCATTGATATTCCCCGCTGTATGCTTCATGTAGAAATGGATTTGATTGTTTGACTTTGGGTTTTATTTGAAATTCTCAAAAACTGACTCTACTGAACTGATTGACATTCGGCACCCTGCACAATATATTTATTGTAGTTTCTTTAAAAGCCCTGCTTTGGATTCTGCAAAGTATTTGTTTTGCAGACTCTAACCCCCTGAGGACTGTAAGAACATTTCTGCATCACCTTCAGGTAGCAATAAAAGAATATAATTTGCCAGGTTTCTCAGATCTATGTGACAAGAGGCATCTTCCATTGTGCAATACTATATTCTCCTTTTATTCATCAGCATTGCAGTCAAGTCTCAATAAATGTAATTATAATATTTTATTGGTACATAAAATGGGAATGAATGAGCAAACATTCATTGGAATTTCATCCCTGTGAGAGCTCTTAAATAACGTATTGTCGGAGAGCTGCACTGAATTGTATCCATGGATCAGGAACTTGTTTATCCTTGTTGCACAGTTAACATTTTAGAAAAAGCAATTGTGAGCAACCTATTTTTCATCACTAACAAGTTAATTAACCCCACCATAGCCTCATGCCTAAAAACTTGTCTGAATTCATACTGCATTCAATTCTGCGTTATATAAGCCAGAAATGGGTTTGTGGACACACACTTTTGGCACTCGATTCATTTTCCTACACAGCAGTAGGATATGACACCACAATTGCACAATTTCCACATGTTGAGTTCCCAATTTCAACTATGTCATTATATGGGGTTGATAAGCACAGCTCAGATGCTTTACCAAATGGAGGTAATCAAACATCAAAAGAGATAAATTACCTCACTCAACTCTCAGAGATCACCTAGTAGTAGTTGTACAGAAAGGCTTTGACAGAGGAATGGTGAGACAATACCATCAATGAATCATAGAATTATAGAATATCACATCACAGAAGCATGCCATTCGGCCCATAGTGGTCTATGCCGTATCTTTGGAAGAGCTACCAAATCAGTCCCACTCCCATGCTCTTTCCCCGTATCCTTGCAAATTTTTCCTCTTCAAGTACCTATCCAATTCCCTTTTGAAAGTTGTTATTTTAATCTGTTTCCACAACCCTTTCAGACAGTGCATTCCAGACCTAACAACTCTCTGTGTAAAATTCTTCTCCTTGTCTCCCCTCTGGTTCTTTTGTCAATTATCTTGAAACTATGTCCCCTGGTTATTGACCCACCTGCAAGTGAAAATAATTTCTCCCCATCTACTCTATCAAAACCCCTCGTAATTTTGAACACCTCTATTAAATCTTGAGCACATCTATTAAATCTACCTTGTAAGTCATCTCCCACTTTTCAAACACACTCCTCACTGGTCTCCCAGTTCCACCATCCACAAGGTCCATCTTATCCAATACTCTGCCATACACATCCTCACCAACCTTTGCATACTCATCACCCCTATTCTCTCCAGGCTCTACTGGTTCCCTGTCTCTGAGAGAATTGATTTCAAGATCCTCATCCTCACAAACAAATTCCTTCACACCCTAACGCCTTCCTACCTCTCTATCCTGATCATTCCCCTCTCCTCTGGCTATCCTTCTTATCTCTCTGATCTGCTCATACCCTACTCCTCTTCCTGTCCCCTTTTCTCAGTTGACACAGACTTAATGCACATCTCCCAAACATCAATGGCTATGCCTGCAGCCACTACACCTCTAACCTCTGGTTTTCCCTGCCTCAATCCCTCTGCCTTATCTTTGTCTTCAAATCCCACATTAACACTTACCGCTTTGACCAAGCCTATAGCCACTTCTTACTTCTCCCTTATTCAGCATCCAATCCTGCCACTGTACAGTTCTCCCAAGACGTTAATCTGCATGAAGGGAGCTATATAAATGCAAGCTGTTGTTGGTAACGCGAATAAATGATGAAACCTTTCTAGAAGAGCAAGGTTTTATACATGAATGGAAAAAGAACTCGGTGTTTGAATAAATGCAAATCGATTTATGATGGTTATGTGTCGGAACTGCTGTTTAACAACCCTGATAACTGTCTAAGCAATAGCTTGCACTGTTCATTTAGATTCCTCACCATAATTTTGCCAAGGAATGACAACACAGCTTTAACACTTGAAATACAAACACCTCTCGCCTGGGTTTGTCTATCAATCTGTTGAATAAATCTACAGAACTGACAATGAAGGCCTATTTAGTATAAATCAATATATGTTTGAAACTGTCCACATCACTTTCTGAGAATGTCAGTTTATGTATAACCAAAGGATCGATGTAATGCTTTGTTGGCAATAAAAAAAACAAAAGATATTGACAGTTTAAAGTAATTCTGATAAGTCCCCAATGCAGTCATGTTTGTATCACACACTGTGACTCTATCCATTATGGGGATGCTCCATATATTTCTTAGTGGCTATGAAGATCAAAGCTATGTGATGTTCATGATGCTTTTCCTTCTGATGATCCAAAAGATCTTGTTTATTTCAGGCACATATGTTCCCATTTTGAGACCTTCACTTGTCTTACTCTTTGTAGTAATATTTACTGTACTTTGTAGCAATTTTCCACTTGTCTTTCATCACTTCTGTTATCCTGTGGTAGATACAAAGTACAGTGCTTATTTCTGTATCTGTTAAATGGCGAGTCCAAACTCAGATTGAGATACGAATCTATATGCATATTTTTGGGGAAATTATTTCTTCCCCCCACTCCTCATAGCCATTCATTTGAGTCACATTCAAGACCTTCTTAATGGAAGCTGTGGATATAAGGAGGGAAAAAAAGTGAACTATAGTATGCAATGAATAGGTGACACCCATTTGTAGAAACAACAACCATTAAATTTGTAAAGTGCCTTTCAGGTTGGGTGGTCATTCCAAGGCACTGGACAGTCAGGGATTTGGACCCAAGCAGGGTGTTCGGCTCAGGGGTGAGGTGGAGGGCGTGGTGGGTATGGGTAGGATGCTTCAGTGCTAAAAGTCTTTAGCATTGAAGGTCTTTTGGCCCATAATACCTGGGCTGGTGCCAGCACCCACTACTGGAGATACTGTATTTGCCTATTTTTCCCCTATCATATTGAAAGTCAAATAGTTGTTTTTTATTTCAATCTTTTCTTCCGATCCTAATGAATGCTAAGGATATTACTGTCCCCGGTTTTTAATTCCTGCAACATTGTCCTATTGAGAAGGTTTAAGTGTGATATTACATTTAAGATCGAAAAGTTTCCACAACCTGCACTATTGGAAATATTAAGTTTAAGTCTAATGTGTGAAAATTGAATTTTCTGAACAGTGTTGAATATGGATAGCAATAAATCAGTTGGTCATATCAGTGAATGCTGGCCCGTTACTGGAAGACCATGTCAAACTCATTTCTATGTAATTGAGATCTGTGCACATTTAAGCAATATGCATTTTTTTGTGAAATTGTTTTTCCCCTCCCATTAATTTCAGCAGCATTCAAGGTCTTTTCAATGAAAGGTGTGGAAAAAAAAGTAATTTACCCTGATATATCAGTTTACTGTAGTCTGAATAGTAAGAGGTTGCACAGTGGACCCAATCTGACTTCTGGTTTATAGCATGCAAGAACATGTGTCTTGGCATCCCAGCAACCACTCGAAACATCTGCTACATGCTATGTTCAATAATGCAACCCCTTATTATGCGACTCTGATTTGAAATCAGTCAGATATAATTTTAAATGCAACTATACCGTTGACCTGAATCAGTCTAAAAATAATCTCACACTCTGAAAAGTTTAATCCATATCTGAATCTTGAACCATCATCAATCTCTGGTGATCCGATACTGGCAGACTTTTAATGTCCATGTAAAACCATCAGTCTGATAATTCATGGGAAGACATTGCAATGCCTCTTGTAGTTCAGGATCAGAAGCAGTCGTTTAATTTGTGACATTAGTTAATTGTAACTTCCACCTTACGAAATTCGCAGGCTATGAAAGTAGAAAGATGAAGGGGGACTCGAGTATGTGAGGGAAGGGGAGACAACTTCCTATTTTGCTGGCAGGACCAATTTTCAGACTCAGCTGACTTGGAAATCTAGGAGCAATGATTTTCCCTACAAAAGTGCAATTCACAGTGAATCCTACGACGTGCTTTGAGTCGATTATCCACGTGAAATATAAGGATTATTATTTTAATTTGACAAACCAGGAAGTGGTAACAGACACAGCAACAACAGCTTGCATTTATATAATGTCCTTCAGGGTAGGGTAGTGTTCCTGGGCTCTTCAGTCTTGCAAATGCATGGATTGTAAATTAAATCCGCAGAGCCTATTTTTCCCGTGTCCTGGAAATTTGCATCTTTCAAGCATTTGACAGAATGTAAAATGTGTTTTTGATGCCAAATTGACATCTAATTGTATATTGTACCTTACCTCTCAGTACGACTTTGTGGAGCTGCTCGATGGCAGTAGATTGATAGCCAGAGAAAAGCGCAACCTTGCTGAGTCTGACCACAGAGTCCGACACATTAGGGCCGTTAGCCTCCAAGAAGCCGGTTTCATCCAGTATCTGGATTCAGGAGTCTGGCACCTGGCCTTTTACAATGATGGGAAAACTGCTGAGCAAGTGTCCTTCAATACCATTGTCATAGGTAAGTGTTGTCACTCATGTACATGACTAATTAGTAACTGGTTCAGACAATTACTGATAATTTGAACCTCTAATACAATGTTCAGATGGATGATAAAGAATTGTTCTGGCTCTCTGATGGCTCAGATGATAAAGTGCGAAACTGAGTCAGAAGGTCACACATTTGACCCCAGCCTGTACTAAGTACAGTATATCAGGGCAGTCATTCTCAATTGCTCTCAGTAGTCATGTGCTCAGGAGGGAAAAATCATCCAGAGTTGCCACCCATGACACTCTAAAGCTTACAAATAAAGAACAGTTATAACCAATAGCCTTGTACAAGGTAAGAAATATGCATGGAAACTAATTGAGAGCTTGCTTTGCTGTCCACACACAGAGTCTGCAGTTGAGTGTCCTCGAAATTGCCATGGAAGCGGAGAATGTATTTCTGGAACTTGCCATTGTTTTCCTGGATTCCTTGGACCTGATTGTGCGAGAGGTATTTGAATTGTATTTCTTACATCTCCAAAGTAGGGTGGTGCTGGAGTATGGGCGGAAGGATTTCTATAGCTTAGAAATCCTAACCTTTTGTTTGTTATTAATATAAGAGACGTGCATAGCGGAGCACGTCTATAATAGCAAAGAACAGACGGTCTTAGTCGTTGCCAGTGGCGACCACAGTACCCAGCGGGGCAGCCCACGATGAGTCTGCCACAGTCTCTTTGAAAACCTTTACATCTGAAGAGCCTGATGGATAAAATCTTCATATTCGAGGATCAGAGCATTTATATTTCTTAGAAATACTGAAAAGCGTATTGATGAGGTTTGATGATAAAAGGTTTTTAAAATCTTTTTGAGCACCTCACCGCTTGAGTTCTCTTCTATCCCCAGTTCTCATGTCTTTCTCTTTCTTTCTGTTGTGCAGCAGCCTGTCCTGTCCTATGTAATGGCAATGGACAGTACTCCAAAGGACGCTGCCTTTGTTACAGTGGATGGAAGGCAATGGAGTGTGACGTGCCCTCAACCCAATGCATCGACCCTCAGTGCAGAGGACATGGCATCTGCATTATGGGCTCCTGTGTCTGCAACTCGGGCTACAAGGGAGAAATGTGTGAGCAAGGTACAGCAGAGCAGAATTGTAGGGGTTCCAGGGAGGTCAGGGAGTGTCCTGGCAGAAATGCAATGGAAGTACAGCAATGGCTGAGATATTCTAGTTAGATAACTTATAGTGGGCATGCTTGTGACTCAATATTCCCATTCCCCACAAATACATATTATTCAATAGTTTATGGACAGACGTATAAAAGGTGCACATGCGTGATCAGTGAAATTTTAATTTAAAATTGGAGGTTAGCAGGGTTTAAACCTCATGGGTAAGCTTCTGAGAAATTTTCTCAAAAAACATATGACTAAATCTGATTCACCCACTCTTATTCCTTATTGTAAAATGAAAGTTTCCAAGTAGTTTTAAATACAAATGTAGATTAAAATGATATATAATTATCAATTTAACAGGGGTCACAGACAGAATCCTTGGATCTATTTATAGAATTGACCATTTTGTTTGAGATTTCGTCCATTTATTAGATTTGACCTAATGTGTTTCTCCACCCCTCAGACAGGTAATACTACTCCAGAAAATCATCTTTTTTTTCTCTCAATACCTTCTCCCCCACATCTAGTCATTTCCAAAACACACAATGAATGCCAGGTCAGTTCATTCTCAGTATCAGCCTAGACTTCTGGCCATTTTTTTCACAATCAGGTAGAATGTCTCCCTCTAACATGTTGACAATGTGTGTAGGGTCCTCTGCCTTCATGTTTTCACAGTAGAACATTTGAATTTAACATAATCTGATTTTAGATTCCTCAAAATTCGGACTGTCAGCATTTTTTATCCATTGTCCCATTCCAATGTTTCATTTCATGTTACATATCTAGTCTTTATACATCCAGAAAGAAAAAGTATGTTTTATGTGCACTTCTACTTAGATAGTAGTAGAAAAAAATTCACGAATGGCCATGATCATAAGAGGAGAAATATTGACACCCATTATCTAATGTGGCAGCCTCAAGGCTGGTCACAGTGGATGGAGTTGTCCTTCACACCACCCCTCCCACTTGTTGGGGGAGAACAATTTCAACAGTAGGAATATAGTTTGTGCATAGGAATGCATACAGATTAAGAAATTGTTTACCTTCTGATTTTTTTAAAAAATCAGCTACCACTCAGCTAGTCACAAAATAAACTTCCAGAATTGCAGTTTAAAGGTAAAAAATTCTTTGGGAATAAGTTGAGGAGACGTTGAAGGTTTCTTATAAATTACTATTATAACCATTAAGCCATCATATGTATGGCCTCTAAGGTGCTTGGACAGCCATTCAAATAGCTATTCACCTTTAGAGGAAAAAATAAGTTCGATTCAATGAGATTTAAGCCCAGGTAGATAGAACAACAGAGAACCAGAAGGAAGCTCATCCCACTGGTTGGTGCTTCATTTGGATGGACCCAGCAGTGATTCTGAGTCACTTTTTCTGTGATATGATTGTCAGATTTGTCACTGAGGTATAGAATCTGATACATTGCAGACAAGTGGCACTTTCCCATGGGGAATACATAGTTGAGAGGGTTATTCCTTTCACTGTCACTGAAGCTGTGAGTAGTTCAAGAAACAACTTTCCTCAAGGCAATTAGGAAGTGCTCTGTCAAAAGGTTTTGTCTTCAGAGATAAAGAAAATGTCCTCTATTGCAATTCACCATTGAGCAATAGGTCAAAAAATGACACTTTTGTTATTCATTGTCACTAAAAAGATAGGATATTTGCAACCCATAGTAGACACAAGAGGATTAAAATGATCCATTGACAAGGACATTCAAGATGGTGATTTTGCAGCACATTATCTAAGTAGTGAAGAAAGTGACTTCAAAGGCAAACCATTTTCTGAAGGGATAAAAATGTTTTCATTGAAAGATTCCAGTACAGAATAGTCCTGTTTGGGTTTCTCCAACACTTCTGACACAAACTGGCACATCAACAGGTTGGAACTATGAGCAATGCAATCGTTCTAATTGGGAAATAGATGCAAGGGCAATCCGTGAGACTGAGGCATTAACACCTGAACAGGGAGGGACTTGATCCTATTCCCTGTGCAGAGACCCTGCATATTTTGCAATAGTGACACTAGACACTTACTATCCCATTGTGTTCAACAATTCTTAGATTCCCTCCATACCAGTTGATTCCCTGAATGAGCACAAGAAGTTCCATGACAAGCAAAGGACATTAATTTGGGTTACCAAAATAGATTGGTCTCATATCAGACTTCCAAGTCAAGAGGTTGCCAAGATATTGCCACAAAAATCAAGACAATGGAGTGGCCTTTCAACCCTCACTGACTCCTCCCTCTGGCCTTCAACCCTCACTGACTCCTCTTCTGCTCTCACCCTCCTCCACAACACCCTCTCCTCCACACTCGATGCTCTTGCCCCCATCACCTCCCGTACTGTCTCCTACTCTCGCTCCTCCCCCTGGTTCACCACCCACCTCCGCTCACTGAAGAGCCAGGTGCGGGCCGCTGAACGCACCTGCCTCAAATCTGGCCTAACGGTCCATTGACAAATCTGGCTGGACCTCCTCAAAATCTACTGCTCCACTCTAGCCTCGGCCAAGTCGTCCTTCTACTCCAGGATAATCCTGGAGGCGAAGAACAACCCCAGGTTTCTGTTTTCTGCCACATCTCGACTCCTTCGTCCCCCCCGCCACCCCATGCAGATCATCTCCTCCAAACTTCACTGCGAGGAGATGCTGGATTTCCCTGAATCCAAAATCAAGGGAATCCGCTCCGCGGTCACTCCCCTTCCTGTCCAAGGTCCTTGAAAGAGTTGTCGCCTCCCAGCTGTGCTCTTTCCTCTCCACCATGCATTATTCGAAACCCTTCAGTCGGGTTTCCGTGCTGCCCATAGCACGGAAACTGCCTTGGTCAAGGTCACCAATGACATATTGACCATCTGCAACCAGGGCTCCCTCTACCTCCTCGTCCTCCTCGATCTATCGGCAGCATTCGATACGGTCGACCACGCTATCCTCCTCCACCGCTTGTCCTCCCACCTCAACCTTCAAGGCCCTGTCCTTGAGTGGTTTAGGTTTAGGTTTAGGCCCTGTCCATTTTGTTTCCACAAACGGCTTTTCCTCCAGCCCCCGCACTGTCTCACGCGGTGTCCCTCAGGGCTCTGTCCTCGGTCCCCTCCTCTTCACCCTCTATATGCTCCCCTTTGGTGATGTCATCCACAGACATGCGGTTAACTTCCACATGTATGCGGATGACACCCAACTCTACCTCTCCTCCTCTACCCTCAACTCCACGACCACCGATGTCCTGACAGCTGCCTGTCCGACATCGAGTCCTGGAAGAGAGACAACTTTCTTCAGCTCAATGTGCGCAAAACTGAGGCCCTCCTGATTGGCTCGCGTCAGCGCCTCCGCAACTCAGGCGCTGAGAGCATCAGCATCCAAGGCTGCACTCTCCACCTCTCAAAGCCAATCAGGAACCTCGGTGTTCTGTTTGACCCTGAGTTGTCCTTTCTTCCTCATATCTGCGCCACAACTGGCACCGCCTTCCATCACCTCCGAAATATCGCCAGACTATGGCACTACCTCACCCCTCACGCTGCTGAAACTCTGGTCCACGCCTTTATCACCTCAAGGCTGGACTACGGGAACTCTCTCCTCGTCGGCCTTCCTGGCACCTCCCTCCACAAGCTGCAGGTCATTCAGAACTCTGCAGCTCGTGTGCTGTCCCGCACCAGGCTTCGGGACCACATCACTCCCACCCTCGCTCGCCTCCACTGGCTCCCCATCCCCCAGAGGATCGAATTCAAGATCCTCATCCTCACCTACAAGGCCATTCATGGCCTTGCTCCCTCCTACCTCTCCGACCTACTATCCCCCTACTTACCTGCCCGTACCCTCCGTTCCTCTGGCTCCGGTCTGCTCCACATCTCCCGCACCAACCGCCCTACCATTGGTGGCCGGGCCTTCAGCCTCTCAGCCCCTCGGCTCTGGAACTCCATCCCCCAGTGCCTTGCCCTTGCCTCCTCCCTTTCCTCCTTCAAGGCCGGTCTCCATACCTTTCTCCTTGACCGTGCCTTCAGCTCCCCTCTCGACTCTCTACCCCATCCTCGCTCCCTCTCTTCCCTGCCCTCACCCTGACCATTTCCCCCCTGCTCCGGTCCTGACCCAACTGTCCAGCGCCTTGGGACGTCCTCCCGACGTGAAAGGCGCTCTATAAATGCAATCTTGTTGTTGTTGTTGTGTTGATGGATAAAACTTGAATACGTTCTCTTGTTTTTTCAACCGCAAGATTATCCATAAGAAGGTCTGTTTGGAGAGGACAACAATGATCCTTGTAACTCCCTACTGATTAAGGAAAATTGGGTATTCCGACCTAGTGCAGCGAATATCAACTGACTGCAATTATCCTCTATAGGAAAGGCCTATTGTTGTGCAGCTGGAAGGTCAAATACAGCAGAGCACAATTCAACTCAATCTCTGTTTAGCTTGGCTCTGTCTTTTCACCAAAAAATGTCCTTTTTCTAGTTGGTAGAATCAAGAAAAATGCTGCTCTTAAAAAGAATGTGGGAAAGATTCACCCTTGTGTTTCTGTTATTTCAGCAGTTTATTTGTTGTCTTTGTCCTTTCAAGGTCTGTCACCTTGTTTGTTCAGTTGTGATACTTCCCACACAACCTTATCGCCCTCCTTTAAAGAGTAGTTATGGTAATCATGTTTGTGACAGATGCCTAGAAGCTTATACCTTTCATTTGTCCAGGCCAATTTAGTTCTTGCTCTTATCTCTCAATGCAGAAGACAAAGTGAATTTGATTTCTCTTTTTTTGGTTTTCCATTTGGACAGGACTTTCTCTGAGCTTCTTGTCTAAAATTGTAAAAGTTTTATTTGTACCAGATTTCCTGTTATTCCAATTGGGAGAGAAAATACTCATTATTTGATATTTGTAGTTGTAAGCCTTCTGTATAAACAGAATCAAGGATTGATGCCAATCCAGGTGTTATTTGCTTGTTTCATTTGGGAACAGAGCTTTAAATGAAGCATCCCATGGCAAGATAAATCCTTCTAGAATTCTGTGGTTGTGAACTGAGGCAAACGCTTTTTGTACTGTGCTACTGGCAATTTCTGGTTTTGTTTGGTCTCTCGGACTGGACAATGTTCCACATGGAGAAGACAGGCTTTTACAAGACACTTGTGCCTGTATGTCCTCTGAAGACGATAAATGCTTTATGCTTCTGAATGGGGCGGACTTCAAATTGAGTCAGGGAATCATTGAGACAAAAGGAAAAACTGACGTCTGGAAGTCTGAAATAAAACAGAAAATACTGTACATGTACAGCAATTCAAACAACATCTGAAGGAGAGATAGGTCAGTGTTTTGGGTGTGTCCTTTCGATGGAGCTCAGTTATTGCACTATTTCTAGTCAATTGACTATTTCTAATCACTATTATTGAGTCAATTTCTTTGCAAGTAGGAGATGTAAGTGGGAGCTAGCACCAGCACAGACTCAGTGGGCTGAATGGCCTCTTTCTGAGAGTGTGACCTTCACCATGGGTTTCTTCATTTTTGAGTGCAGTCTATTACCCACATATAAAGGTCCCATCGCATGCTCACCTGATCTCTCTGAACTTGTGGAGCATTCTTATTAATGTGCTCTCTTCTACTCCCACCATCAAACAAACTGAGGGAATCCAGAGCAAGGTCTCACAGCAACCCTAGGCTATAGGAGATCATGTGTGTTGTGAGATGCTCACAAGTGAGAAGTTCTTAAAGGTTCAATATCCAATGTTTTGCCTGTTGTATGCGATCGATCAATTACCTTTAAAGAATGAGGAAAACCACATAGAAAGCAATTATATTTCATCAGTACTTGACATATAACCAAACAAATTAATAAAATCACAAAATACACCTTTTGTATGAATGAGGGGCAGGGAGAACGGCAACAGATCCCAGAGCATCATAAAAGTAGAGGAGGGACAATGATGGGTCAGTAGTGTTCATGGGAAAAATAATCCTAATGTTATTTGACTTTAGTTTTCGCCAAAGGTAGAAAACAAGTGCTCATATCTGCAATGGGTGGAATTCTTCAGCTTTGTTATGAAGCTATGTGACACAGTATTACCTAGAAAGTTATAGCACCTAAACAGGCCATTTTGCCCGAACAAATCCATGTATGCGTGTGAGTGTGTGTGTGAGTTTATGCTCCACATGAAACCTCCATCACTCCTAATTCCCACTCCTACAACCATCTATGGACTGTTATTGCTTATTCATTCAAAATTATCTGTTTTTCCCATTCCACTCCCTCAGATGAATAATTCTGGGCAGATGACAGAGCTGGGAGAGTGACTACATGTCAGTAATATCATTACTGGGAGGAGAGGTTAGATTAGGCCATCAACTGAGAAATCAAAACTCAAGTGTTTGAAAACATTAACTGAATCCTCCCCCACCCATCTCTCTGTCTTGCAATCATCCTGGTGTTCTCATTATTATTGTGTGATGTACATTGCAAATGTTCTGAAGTAATATACACTGCAAATTTTCTGAAGTAATATTTTTGTGCCAACAATGTTTGTCATTAGATGCAGACTGCCACTGCACACCATTTACATGATAGTGTTTCTCTGTAGTTAATGAATGCAGCCGCGTTTATCATGCTAATTCACAGAAAAATGAACTGCACTTGATTACTGAGGAGCTCTTTGTCCAATGCATTAAATGTCATTATCAGTGCTAGGTGTGTGGTTTAAAGCTATAAATATTCTTTTTCTAACAATCTGTTCAGGGTGGAAATGATGTTCTGAATCTGTTTTTTCTAAAGATTGTTAAACCGCTTTGAAAATGCATAATGGCTCTGTTTTTGTGCAGTAATTTAACAAGTGAGATCTTGCAGCCCCACCAATGAATCAGATTCACATTTAAAATTGTGTTTCTGTAAGCAGTCACCCATCATTCCATTTTTGCTGATGCTTGTTTGTCATTCTCATAAACCCAAAGCAAACTATTCTAGTGTTTTCAAAAACTGGATCAAAATAAAATTAATCTTTTGAATAAAAGAAGCTACATTAAATATTTGCAGAAATTTAAAGAATGAGTTAGTTTTGTCTTTCCCCACTGCTAGAGATTTCAGTGTTTCCTTCTGGTATTTTGCTGCCTATATCAATGGCATCATTAAAGCGCTGCTGTTCATTGGCATTAATGAACATGGAAAGTAATGAAGTTTCAGTAATTGCAGAAAGGTCTCAGGCTTCTCCCATTTTCTTCTCACTCATTGCAAGTGAATCTTGCTTGCAGGGCTCTATTATCCACTTTAATGAAGCTTATGTTCTCTGTCACGCAGACACTTTGATTTCATGCTGAGGAACAAAATGTGACTGCCTGCCATAACACCAGTTGCCATTATAAACTATAGCTATGGCTATACTTATGTAGCAAGTGGGGTGAGGGGTTCTTCCACTCTGCTGGCCATTCTCGAGTCAGACATACTACAGAACCAGTTGGGCATAGTCACATAGAGCGTATAGTTGTCTGTAAAAGCTTTGATTTTGTTAACAAGAGAAGAAAATCTTGCAGCCAGTCTTGTGCCTTATAATGGACAGGATCCCATTAAAAAATTGGGATAAATTAGCTCTAACACTAGCTCGCAACCAGTGTGGTTTACTCCAGTTCCTCTTTATCAATGATAGAGTTAGGAGAAATATCAAGGCACCTAGTACTAAAACATTGATTTGTTCCTCTCTTATCACAACTAAACCACCCCACACAAAACAAGCAATGGGAATCTAAAAACAGATCAGAAACAGGATTCTTTAAGTGGGAATTCTTTAACCAGTGGTACGTCAAACTCACATGAATTTGGTTTCCAAATGAAAGTACGCTGGAGAGAGTTTCTGTGAGTCAGTGTGACGCATGTCTGTATTTCTTAAGTGAGGAACCCTGGGCAAAGTCCCTGATTATAGACCCAGGGGGATAATCATAAAATAACTAGGTAATACAATGCAGTTTGTTAGCAAATCGTTCCTAGATATGACCTTGTGAGATTTGGCTAAAGGCTGCCAAGTTAAGCAACGGAGTGATTATAAGTGCTTCGGAAGTCTGAAATTGACAGATATGGAGTTAGAGTGGAAAGTGATAATGAGCCAGCAGTTTGATAAAGTCTGAGATGCACTGAGAATTTGCTTTAAACAAATGGTACCCAGAGCTAAGGCTCAGATTTGGCTCAGGGTGCTTTGCATTGAATGAAAGGTCATAGATTGTCATGTTTTGTGCAGAAAAGAGCTGCCAAAAATCCTGTAACTATATATGGTAACATAAGAAAATCCTCACAGAGTCAGATTCTCTGTTTAAACTATGAAGCTTGTTTTTTCCACTGTATAGAACAAATAATTGTCAAGATTGAATATATTGATACATGGCTGTGCAGTATATCACTTATAGTCATGCAGTCAATAAGAGAGAGTAGCTGTTTCTGGTAGAATATGATGAAAAATGATAAGGGTTTTTTTTTCCTGGTGCAATGCTGGTAGTAAAGAGGAATTTGTGAAAGAGCAGTCCATTTTTCAAGTGGAAAATCCTATTTCCGAAACCTCAGAAATATTGATTTTATTGATCTTTATTCATACACTATTGCAATTATGCTGCAGAAATTAAATTTTCAGGTCGTTGACCCTACAAGTGTAAAATTTTATTGAGTCAAATTGCGAAATTAGATTTCATAATGTGAAGCACATTAAAGTGAATTAAGGACCAGGTCTTGACGCTCTCTGCTATTTTTCACCTTTTGGGCCGAAAGATTATTTCTTTTTTTCTTCCAGCGGATTGTTTCGACCCGACCTGTTCAAATCATGGAGTCTGTATCCACGGGGAATGCCACTGCAGTCCGGGATGGGGAGGTGCCAACTGTGAAAATTCGAAAGCCGTCTGCCCCGATCAGTGCTCTGGCCATGGGACATACCTTCAGGAGAATGGTTCCTGCATTTGTGATCCAAATTGGACAGGCCCAGACTGCTCAGTGGGTTAGTAGACAGAGGATACCTTGCAAATCATCCTATAAGTGGTGAAATGTTCAGATCCTTCTTCCCCCGAGGGCTAAAGCAGCAGTATACTTACTGAGATACACAGACTCATTTCAAACTCGGTGGTGTATGTCATTGGCAGCTGGGTTACCTCAACAAATTGATCTTGGGTTTTAATGATCACTTGATTTTCGTGGGCTGTTTCCTCTGTTTAAAAGCATAATTCTGTTCAGGAAATTGTTGTGTTGTGAAGAACAGAATTTCCCTTATAGAAAAAACAGAAATAGTTACCATTATGAAAGACACAAGTTTGCATATTTCACCTCAAAAATTTTCTAGAGGTATGGTTCAAAAATGTGGTCATCCTTGAGATTACAGAGTCAAATGTGATGTTTCTCTAATATTTATCATGTGGAATGTGTAAGAGTTGGACATCTCACTAGTTGTCTAACCATTTCTTCCCTTTGCTCCCACCTCCCCCTTGACAATCTTGATTTTCTTGTGAAGTCTGAGAATCATGGAATCTTAAAGCAACAGAAGGGGGCCATTCGGTACACTGTGCCTATCCAATTAATCCCACTCCCCCGCTCTTTCTCCATAGCCTTGCAATTTGTTTTCAATTTCAGATATATATCCAATTCCCTTTTGAAAGATATTTCAGAAGAAGCCGGGGAATGGGATTCTGACTCACAGATTGTAGCCTTTGAAAGTTGCTTAGCAGAATAGACAAATGACTCAAAATGCCAATGTCCAGCCAACCGGTAGCGAACAAACTGCAAGTCTAATCCTGTGGACCCAGTTTTTCAGGCATAACCAATGGAGACTAGTGTGGAGGGCGCCAATCTCCAGCAAAATGCAGCACTAAAGTGATGCCCTGTCCAAGCAAATCACACCTCAAAAAGGCATGGTGAGCAGGCAGCCTGGTGAATTAGACAAGGTGACTGACTCATGTGGAGAAAACCACCAGAGTAGGCCTGATAGGCCAAATGGCCTGTTTGTGTGCCTGAACGTTGCTTGATTCCGTGCTAAAGAACAGTCTTTCAGGAATCCCAAGCTTTGCTGGCTAAATGTAGTGCATCAAACAGGCTAGAAAGTTCCAAGGTATCAATCATTTTCTAAACTGGGATGTTTTATCTCAGCCAGGTGGCTGGTTGGGTGCAATTCACCATTTCCATAATCAACCAGACTGCTCTTGATTGTAGTTCACAGAACCCGGCCACAATGGTGTGTGTGTGTGAGGTGGGGGTTAGGGAGAAAGGGAAGGATTCTCTCATTCGACTCGCAGTCCTGGTGTATACCTCACAGTATGGGTGAGGTGCCCAAGTGACTACCACTGCAGCTTCAGATAAATGGAGAGAGTTAGTAAGACAAAGGCAGGGTGGTAAAGACATTGTTGTGAAAACTACAATGAATTTGTAATTCTGCCCACTACTTTTTATTCACCATACTCTACGTAAACATGTCTGCCTTTTAACTCACATGTTTGTGACATGGACCCTTTAAACCAACAACATTTACTATTTTTAAGTCACTGCACGCTATTGAATCTATCAAAATTCCATTATAAAAATGCCTCTGTGAGTCCAAACTTGATGCTGTGGTGCTTCAAGCAGCTTTCAATCATTCCACATCAGTAAATGGCAGTAATACAAAACAAACCCTAGATTTCTTGTTTCCAACAGTCCCTTGTTTTGGTGACTTTCAGTGGATTATACAGTATCAGATATAGTCACCTCTGACCTACTTCTGGTATTTCCCTTCCATTAATTCCTGTATGTTTCAATTTTGCACCCTTGCTTCCCCCCACCGCCCCAAAGTTTTAGCTTCTTAGAAGCTGGAATTTTAATGGGAACAGGAAGAGGCCATTCAGACGGTTGATTAGATGTCATCAGATCTTTTAATCCCAATGCCATATCTTTTAATACCTCAGCAGAAACAAAACAGCTCAGTAGAAGCTCAATAATCAGTAGAAACAAAATATGGCCCTTTAAAAATGTAATTCCAAGGTCAGATATGATTTATTTTTGAATTCATTTGTGGAATAGGTGAAGAAAAACAAGTGCCCAAAAAACCAATTACTGGATTTGAAAAAGTTTACCTTATCCCAACACATTTGATTAATAGAGTTAAAATCAATTAATCATAATGCTGCTCAGTCAGGTAACCCTGTGATAAAAGGCTTCAGTTGTGGGGAAATTAGACTCTGCTTTGAATGAAGGCAGTGACTGAACACGAACTGTGTGAAGTTTCATACTGATGGATAAAATAAATCTTTCACATTGCTTTGTTCTTAATGGATTTCTGGAATGCGTACCTCTGATCAACGTGAGTCCCATGGGTGATTTCAGCCCTTTTTGACTGGTGCCAGTACCAGTCATCAACCAATAAAGATTTCGGAAGAAAAACTCTCAATGTACCAAACTGTTACTTAATTTACCAATTTTTAATTATCTAATTTCCTGTATTTGTTCGTTCAGCAAATAGTGACAGTGAGTTCTGTGCACAGTCAACAAACTGTGCGACTCATGCAGGCAACCTCCCGAATTGAATAATTCAACAAAAGCACAAGGCAGAAGCAGACTCTCGTTGTTGTCTCACAGGTTTATAAGTTCCCCTGTCGAACGATTTGCGAAACATTTAAGAGAAGTTCAGAAGTCCAGTTGTTGGATTTGTTTTACTGGAATTGTTAGACAGAATAAATTGAGTGTATTTTGAGGTAAGAATATCAGGGAATAACTATTCCTTTTTAAAGTGTTACTAAACAACAAGTTGCGTTTAAATAGCACCCAACATTACTGTTGGGTAATGTTTCCAGCGCTATACAAAGACAGGATTAAGTACTGAGCAAGTAGGTAGTTTTAAATTGGGATTAAAGACCAGATAGAATGAGATGGAGCAAGACAGAAGGGTCGAGAAAGTGAATTCCATTTAGGAGTAGACTCTGAAGGCTCAGACACTGATGGTGGCGTAGAGAGAGCAAGAGACTCAGAGCAAACCAAACCAAGGGGGCGAGCAGAGAAGTGGGGTGGGAGAAGATCAGGAATCTAAAGAGGTGTTAAAGCATGAAGGGATTTATAGGTAAGGGTGTGGACCTTGAGATTGATGAATGCAATGAGATATAAATGCTCATGAAAGAGGCAGTCAAACTCCTGATTCAAATACAAGGTTGTGGACGTGTATCCCAAGGCAGCAAGGAGCAGAAAATTGTCTCCGTGGACCCTGTGTAGTCACAAAATAAGAAATGCAATGATAATCCTATAATAATCCTTGAATATGTTATAGCTTCTTTCATATCGGGAAGATATCTCAAAGCCTTCACAGGATTTACTGTAAAGTGGAGTGAATGTGTGTTTGTGGGCAATGACGCTCTCTTAAGTTCTTAAACTGGCTTGATTTTTTTTAAAAAAGGCTCAGAGAAAGTAAAAAAAATCCAACCATAGAGAAAATAATCCAACAAATGAGGCGACAGATGTGAACATAATAGTTGGTGATGTGATGAGACTGAAGGGCAATTAAAATGAGAGGACAGGCGCATTGGGGCCGGGTAGCAAAAGTGACCAGTCAAAATCACACAAGGGCAGCCACTTGACTAATTGGCTATGTCTTCAAACAATAACATCTTTATTAAGAGGCTCCTTTCAAATCCATCAGGAAAGCAATGGCTGGAACAAGTTAATGGATGCAGTGTTATGAACTCACTTAGCCATCAATTATCTTTATTCAATTTTTTTTAAGGGTTATGATGAAAAGAGATCAAGCGAATCTGCTGTTTCTGTGGGAGGGACCCTAGTGCATGCTAAACAGGTGGATTTGGGAGCACCATCGATTGTTGAACTCTGCAGGCATCAGCTCGTAACTGAATGGTGGCTGGAGTCCACAGGTTTAACACAGACTAATTTCCCACCAGCAAGCCACTTGAATGACAAGCCCTTCCAATTTGCTCTTATGGAATTGATGCTGCCAAAACATTATTTGATCTTCGGAGAGAAACATGGTTATTAATTAGCTGCCCAATTTCACTTCAATTAAACGAACTTTAATTAATAAATTCCTTGCAAAGATTGACGCACCCCTAGTTTAAGGTGGTGTGTTAAAGGCTGATAAACACCTTTGTGCTAATGAAAAATTGATTAGATTGATTCGCAGGAGAAACAGGGCTCAGAATGAAAAAACACTTTACCTCTCAAAGCCCAGTTAATATTTTGCAGCACAAAGGTTAATCAGCTCCTCGAAGATCCCTTAATCGAAAGCTTGATTCAGAAAGTAGGGAAGTGATTCTATAAAGAAATCATTGAAAAGAGCACAAATGAACAGACAAGTGTGTCCCAAAGCAACCCAGCAGATGGAAACTGATGAAGCTGTAACTAATCCCGTTGGTGTTAGATAGATTTTCAGATCATTGTTTTTTGTGTTAGGAAAAAGTTTTTTTTCACATAACTTTTGTTTTTTATTGTTTAGTCCAACAGTTGTTGACCTTTGCTGATTTCTTTGCCTCTTCTCCCAACACATGATATGTTTCAGTCAGCACTGTGCCATGGATTTAGTCATGATACTTTGTACACTGGGATGTTTTTTGCCAAACACTGACATCCCTGACTATTAAAGCACTTATAAATCTTACTAATGCCCTGAATGTTACCCAGGCTCCATTTTATGTCAGACTCTGATTTAATAGAATTTTCTATTTGTTATGAGGTATAAGCCTGAAGAATACTCTTTTAAGTTGTTTGATGAATGCTTCAGGGTCTTTTAGTTGCCAAATTTAAAGGGAACCAGAAATATCTATTCAGAGCAAAGCATCATTGGAATTATGAAGCAGGGTGGTAGGAAAAGCTTAAGATTGCTACTCTTAACAGAGAGGGTTTCTAAGAAAGATCATACCACTGAAATGCCCTAGACATCTTTCTTGTAAAGACTGCAATGGGCTCACATTGTCACCATGTTTGATGGTGCCCGGTCAATGACATTGCTATGGTAACAGCTTAGGCAGCTCTCAAGGCTAGGCTGTCACTCCGTGGGATGCCATAATACTTTATTTTAACTGGGTGGCTTCTGGAGCAGTTTGGAAATGGCTGCTCCCTTTTTCTCATTTCTCAGTCTTAACACAAAGGAAAATTAGGAGAGGAGCCAAGCACACGTGTGACTCCTCACACCTCAGGTGATAATCCTGCTCTGTGAGACAGCTGGTTCAAGCTGTGCAAATTCTCAAAGATAGCGAGACAGGCTTCTGTCAGTTTCCCCACAGAGAATTGTTGAGAATACTCTGTTCTGATATAATTCAAACCCCATTTAATTTTTGTCAAAAGTTTTTTTGGGGGGCCGTAACTGATGCATCTGATTGTATCACCGTTAGGTGAAGGACACAGTAGAGCAGTGCATTGGCTGTCCAGTATGCAAAACCACAAGTCCATGATTGCTCATGTGGCAATGAAATGCAAAGAGCAAAGACCAGCCCCAGTTGAAGGGAGGAACACTTGGAAAAGTTACTTTCTCCCAGGATTCCCACAAATATTCGCTAGAAGCTAAGTCCAGAGTGCTTGTGGTAAAGAAGACAGCAGCTTGCTTTTCCTGCCCACTGTTCATTCAGTGAACATTGTAAAGGGGAAGAAAGGTAGAGACGGAATAAGAGAAAAGAAAATAACTTTAAAATGGAGAAGGCAAGGGGAAATAACTGGATTAAATTCAAAATTCTGAACCTGAGTATTATCATTAAATCCTGACCTGCTGAGCAGGATTAGATTGTCTCGGCAGCATAACCAGTGTTTTCGTGGTCAATTCGTAGAATTGGATGTAAAGCCATGGCCGTAATGGGCTTCATGTAAATTTTATGTGACAGCAGCTGACTCAAAAGGCGCCTCCAATGGTACAATCTATATTTCCAGGATCGCACATTGTCACATCAATTTCTAGAAAAGTTATTGTGTAAATTTTCGGCCGGTTAGGATTATTTTTGGCATCTGGTTCAAAGCTATTTCTGTTTCTGTGCTTCTCTCCAACTTTATAAATTTGTTCATCTGTTTGACCTTCTCAAAAAAAAATTCAAGTACTAACTATGTATAGAAAATAGAAAAGGATGTCACTTATCATCAACAGCAGGAACTTGAGAGATTGAATTAAAGAGATTCACAGCTGACTGGACCCTAAAGCTGGGGGAGGGGGAGCTGAGTCGGGGTGGGGGGAGAAGATGACGAAAAGTGTGGTGTAAAAGATCAGATTTAAGTCAGCTGAATATTGTTAAATATCTTCGTAATTTGATGACCATTTCTAAATTCAGTGGCTCTTGATTAGCCCTGGTTCTACCTTCATGACAACTGAAGCCTTTAAATCCCTCCACGGTCTTGTCCCATCCTACCTCTGTGATCTCCTCAAACCCTACAAACCCGGTTGCTGCCTCCATTCAGCCTGCTTCACATCCACCCACCCCACCATCGGCAGTTGGGCTTTCAGCATATCTGCCTCCAGTCTCTGGAACTCTATCCTGGATTCCCTTTGACTCGCTCTTTCATTCGCTTCCTTCAAGATCCGCTTCAAAACGTTCCTTTTTCAATGGGTTGTTGGCCATCTTTCCCCTCTTACACCCTTCGATCGCCACTGCCCCAGCCTGCACCCCTAGCAAGAATGCAAAACTTAGATGGTCCAGTGCCTTGGGACATCTCCCAACGTGAAAGGCGCTACATTAATGTAAATTTGTATTGTATTATAATTGGGATCGATATGCTAGTGTCCAAGAGCCCATAAGGTTTTTTGGATAAAAGCTGAGTTCACGGAGTGGTGGAAGGACTGTGGCTGGTCTTGGCATTTCTCCACGTACTAAGCTTTGTATCAAAATTAAGCCATCTAGTGAAGAGTTCACTTCTTTCCAGTGGTTCAGCCAACTCTTTCTGATTGGAGTGGTGTCAGATGCAAGTGGAGGGAGACTTGAATTTAATGAGTCAAAAGAAAAAGAAAACTCAAATATAGGTTTACATCTTATTTGTCAACCCAACATGAAAGTCTGTGATTGATAAAGAATAACTTTGTAATTGTTGCTAACAGGAGTAGTTTCTTAGTAAATTAATTGAATGATATTGGTTAAATACATTTATTATCGTGAATTTGAGGTCCTTTTAAAACCGGATCTGAAATAAATGTCAATTTACTGTTGTAGTAATGTTCTATTTTACAGTATCTTTAGTGAATATATTAACCTTTAGCATCAGAGTCCCACAAGTACTAAATGTGCTTTGACAGCATTTTGAGCACACAAGTGACTGTGCTGCAACTGTATTTTTGTTCCACAGAAATTTGTACCGTGGACTGTGGCGCCCGCGGAGTTTGCATCGCCGGTAGCTGCCGCTGTGAGGAAGGCTGGGGTGGCTCAGCCTGCGCACAGAGAGTATGTCACCCTCGCTGTCTGGAGCATGGGACCTGCAAGGATGGCAAATGCGAATGCAACCAAGGCTGGAATGGTGAACACTGCACCATAGGTAGGCACACATTGGACAGACTTGGCTCTCTTAACCAAAGTGAATAGTATTCCCTAAAAGTAATGTATAATGTCTATCTCACAATAGAAAATGTCTGTCAGGCACTTTCAGACACTGTTTCTGACATAGAGTAACTAGAGGTTTTCTGCATTCGACTCATTGTGGCTGTGCCACAATCTGCACATCAGTTTGCTTTAAAAAGGGCATGTGGCAAGAAATTTCTGATGGAGCTAAGCAGAATGACAACGATGTGGCATTCAGCTTGTTCTATCCCATAAGATCTAAGTCAGTTCACTTAACAATGAGGATTTTTTCTCCATTCTCTCTCGAACCCCCTTCCAATTCTTGCAAAAGAACTATTCAAGTACCTATTGTATGAAAGGCTATAGCATAGTGTCAGCTTGGCTCAGTTTGTAGCACTCTCGACTCTGAATCAGAAGATTGTGACTTCAAGTCCCATATATGTCTAACAGTTTAGGTTGACACTCCAGTGCTGTGCTGGGGGAATGCTGCATTGTTTGAAGTGTGGTCCTTTGGTGAGTATATCAAACCAGGATCCCAAATGGCTATTCGAAAAGAGAAGTGAGTCTCACATGATGCCCTGACCAGCAATGAACCAAATAAAATTGGTCAGAAGTAGAAGCTTTGAAAATAATGTTTAACCTTGTTGCAGTGACTTAGCAAGCTTCCACAGTATTTTGTCCACTCATTCTATTCTGTCATCCTATCCACTGAGCTGCTGCACCAATTCATGAATATTTTCTCTGAGCAAGCAATCCCTCCATTTAAAAATGTGACAAGGTAAGAAAAGGAGGTGAAAATTAAAGGAAAATGTGAAGGTTCAAAGATTTATCAGAGACGACCGAAAAGAATGATCAATTAATAGCCTTCATGCAAGTTATTATAACCACATCCATTATCACCATGACCTTTTGAGAACTTTATTTCCTGAGAAGCTTGAAGTATAATTTTTCCCTTAGTCCTCACCAATGCCTTTTAACAGGCTATCTGTCATTTCTGAATCTCCGAATAAAGTGAAAGTTTCTTAGGCAATGGTGCAGAAGTATGACTGGAGACCTCAAGACAGTTATATCTACTTAAAGCTTCATTCTTGTTATACCCAATGAATATCCATCCCAGAAAAGACTGCACATCAAGAATGAATGGACGACATTAAGTCATCGGGTAATAATTGAATGAAATTGTGCATTACTTCACGATTGAATCATTAGAATGTCAAGAGACATTTGGAGTATGTGGGATGAGCAGCAAAACCATCAGCAGCAAAATCAGCAAGGGACATTGGGGTGTAATTTGCCTTTTTAATAGAATTCTTAATAAGGAAATGAATCTCTCATATAAGGATTCCCTCTGGTAAGTGGATGTCAGTCACACCGACCAAATGGGAATGCACACAACACCATGTACTTCCGGAGCAGAGTTCCTGAAGGTCAAAGGGAATTTTAATGGGAATCCTTATCAAGGAATTTGTGAGGTTGGACAGTGAACAGCAACGGGGTGTTTAAGAATAATAATAATAATAAAAGTAATCATTGCAATTGATATGGAGCCATTTAACATCAGCAGGACATCCCAAAGCACCTCACAGGATTTTCTGTGAAGTGCACTGACTGTTTGTTGGTGAACAGTGTAGCAAATTTATGTGTTGGTCATCAACTGCACATTGTATCAGCTCAAACATTCATGAAACATCTTGTTCAAGGCAGTGCAATTAATGCACAGCAGTTTTCTGACACTGTAATTTTAAATTTAATTTGTGAAAACGACAGAGCGTTCCCTATTGAAGACTGCCATGAAGTTAAATATCCAGGCTGAAGCCTATATAGGAATGTCAGTTTTTCCTGTGTTTTTTTTTAACAATTTTGTAACGATTTGAGATCTGAGTAATTATTTCTGTTACAAAAATCCAGTAACCTGAACTAACTCCTTTGTTATAATTTGGGTTCTATTTTTTGACTGTTATGTTTCTTAATTTTTGACAGATGATACTGATGTTTATTTGACCGTCATTTTTTTTCCTGGATTTTAGTTGAATTTTTATGGATCTTTTCAGCTGCCAGTTCATAAATTAACCACTGACATCACATATGCAGGCAGCACCACTAATATCACTTCCTGCTTTACTCATAGAGATGACAGAATTATATATTTCCACCTTCTAATGATTTGCCCAGCAGGCAGTTGTAGTCTTGAGTTTTGACATTTGCTTTGGCAAAACGTGATATTTTTGGTGACCTTATGATTGGACTTTGGCCATTTTTGTTCAAAACAATAAACAAAAGTGGTAGAAAAATCATTTTCCTTTATTTGGAGAAAACTGAAGAATCCAATAAATGCCACTGTTTACTGATTAAAATTGGAAACTGTGAAGCCCAGTTATAATTGTACAGCAGTAGCAGAAACGTTTACAGTTCTGCACATTTGTCTTAATGTACATTGGACTTAGAATGTCTTTTGTTAGATGAACCAGAAAATTACATAAGGTTATCTTTCTTATAAATAATAATAATTCTTGCATTTGATATAGCACCTTATCACATTTTCAAGACTCTCAAAGGGCTTCACATGATTTTACTGTGACCAGAACCAAGAGTGCTATGAACTGAGCCAGCCTGATCCCTGAATCCAAGGTTTCCAAGGGTTTGGGAGAGGAGATCCAGATAGGATTCCTGCTCCTGGTTCCTCTTCCATTCTTGGTATTCCTATTTTTGTGTTTTTTAATTTAGCATGTCCCAAATATTTTTTCTAATGTTCTCCCCATTGGCATATGTCTCTCTGCAAATGATCTGGCCTCTGCTGAACTACATGCAGGAAAGGCCAGCCATCAAGCTCTTAAACCTTCTTTCTAAAAGAAAAAAAAATTCAATGATAATATTGTTGTGGTGCTTACGTCCTGTAATGCCTTGAACACTGGCATGTTTATTGAGCTACATTGATTTTCATGTACACACATTTAGGCAATTCACACAGAAACTTGCCTCGGGGAAATTCTAATTCCTTTAAGCTGCTCTCAAAGTGGAAGCGGGGGACAACACACTATTTGTTTTCATTCTAATGCTTCAATACAGTGGGGAACAGGATCATTAACAAACACAGAGGTACTGATCTGTTTGCTTCAAATAACCTACAGCCTCCAGAGCTCAATGTTTCATCAGCAGTTTACTAGGAATTGGGGCATTCGGAGAGAAGGTGCCCTCAATGCATGTGTTAAATGTTATTGCCAAAGGCAGTGCTTTAATTTTCTAATTTTTCTATTTTTCACTCAAGATAACTGTTTGGCCACCTCAATGTTTCCTGTCTAGGTAACATGTAGCTGGAAGGGAAGGAGAACCCTAATCATCTAGTCATAGACTGTTAATAGGAACATCCTGCTCTGAATGAAGCCTTCTCATTGAACAGATCATTCCATTATGCTAGGTTCAGCCTGTGCGTCTTGCCACACAAAGAGAGTGCTGCTCAGCCAGCGGAGGCGCTGACAGTGATGGGTTGCTGTTTGTGAAGTCAATGCCTTTATTTAAAAATAAAGTCCTGGTATCGCTTTTGCTTATATCTCCACCGTTCTTTACTGTCGTGTGCTGTCCAATGGTAACGTGTTGGTAGATACCATAACACCTCAGAATGATAGGACATAGGTTCACACGCTGGCTTCACAAGATCTAAAATCAAATTGTCCATTGATACTTTTTTTTGTTAAACCCTTCATATTAACTTTGGATATTAAGTTTTAAGGTTCACAATATATGTGGAACATTGCCTCACAGTGCTGACCAACACTCTTCAAAGCCTCATCTTTTCAGACTTTGCATTGTCTTTGCATTGAGCTCAATATAATAATAATAATAATCCTTGCATTTGATATAGCGCTTTTCACGTCGGGAGGACGTCCCAAAGCACTTCACAGAACACACTGTAAAGTGAATTGACTGTATATTTGTGGGCGAATGCGGCAGCCAATTGCGCACAGCAATGTCCCACAAACAGTCTTAGCTTGAAAATGACCAATTTATTATTGGTTTTGGTTTTGGAGGGATTATTATTAGGCATTTGGAGTAAGGAAACTTGCCCAAGGTTTCGCCTGCCTGGAATTGAACTCAGGTCTCTCACTTGCAAAGTGAGTGCTCTAACCACTGAGCTGCAGGACTCCTATATAAAACAGAGAGTGAGGTATTTGCCTCCATGATCTTGAAATTCTCCAGGACACATTGCAAATAGCATTTTTAAAGTGCCTTACCACGAAGGTGATGCCATGCACCTTAAAACTGCATCATCCAATGTTGGAATAAATCAAAATGCTTTACAGTGATTATTGGTAAGTAACTCCCATTTTGCCCACATAAAAAAATACAGTCACACCACTTCATGGTATATCTTGTGAAGTATTTTGAGACATCTCAGTGGAGTAATAAGGTGCTATATCAATGGAAGGATTATTATTATTTATTTTCAGCAAGATCCCACAAACAGCAATGAAGTGAATGATTCATTTTATCTGGAAGGTTGTTCTGAAAAATAATATCACGGTATCCTAATGGCCACTTGAGAACAGACAATTTAACATCTTAGCCTAGCCGGTACCTCCAACAATGCAGTGGTTCCCCAGTACCGTAGTTGAGTGTCAACCTTAATTATGAGCTGAAGTCCCAATACAATGCAATACAATTTATATGTAATGCTTGAAGCTAGAACTTTCTGACCCTCAGGTGGGAATGCTACCAATTGAGCTATGGGACACCTGGTCAGCAGTCCCAGCAGAACCTACATAAATTGTCCTAAAATCCTTACCTGTTTGCAAAATTCTTCTCCAAAAGGAGAAACAAAATAACTCGCCTTGTATTTCTCTGTCCTGACAGATAATCCCCTTTTTTTAGTATAAACATAGTTGTGAAATCATATAGTAAACAGACATGGCTGCAGCTGTAGATAACAATGTGCCCAATGTTTTCTTTTCTTCTTTTGCTGAATTCAAATGCAAGAGGTTG